GGTTTTTATGAGTTCATGGTATCCAAATTCAAGTCCTCATGCTTTCAAAGCATGGGTTTTACCCAAAGAGCCTCTCCCCCAGCCTTAAGAACTGTATTTTTAAATATAATTTATTTCTTTCCTCTTCCCCATTTTGCATATTAGCACACCCACGATGAAAGCAAAGCCACCATTTTATTGAAGAGGCTCTACTAGGTACATCATGCATGATAATGATGCACTTTTACCCAGATGTCTGCAAGATAAACATTGTTGTGCCCTTTTTATAGCTGAAGAAACAGAGTCTGTCTAACTTGGAAGCCCGTGTTAACTAGTACGTTGGGTTTCTGATCTTTCTGCAGCTGAATCTTGTCGAGCTGATAGATTCAGAGAGCAGTATAGCAGGAGTGTTCACATCTCACTATACGGTCTTTGTTTCTTTGTTTTGACACAGAGTATTACTATGTATCCCAGGCTGGCCTTGAACTCTTGATTCTCCTGACTTGATGTTACAAATGCTGAGATTACAGATGTGACCACCACATCTGGCTTTGTTTCCCCATATTCCTGTAACAACAGACGGCCTATTGTTTTATATAAGAAGGGGCTAGTAATGGAATTATTGATTCTCCTTTGTAATAAGAGATATGAGAAAGAAAACCTGCTTCCTCCTATCCGCCACTTGTCAGTGGAAGGGACAGGTGCTTGTTTGCAGTGGTTCAGATGGGCCATATCTCTACAGGCTCCGTCCAAGGACACTAGGTTCCTGCGGTTGTCAGTTCAGGCTTTTTTATTGTGATGTCACAACCCAGTTATTTTTGAAGCCTTTGAAAGTTTACTTTGGTTCAAAATACCAGACAGGCTTTTGTCTCCGGGAAAAAGGTGGGGGTGGGAGGGGTAGAGGAATTAAAGATAACTGTTGTGTCTGCTTTGTACACCATCTCATTCCACCCTCAGTTAAGTGTGTGTCTCTCACAGTCTCAGAAAGGTGGTGTGATGTACGTGTTCAAGAAGCAGAGACAGAGTGCCTCAGTCCTCAGGGGTGCCTCGCCCATTACTCCTGGGCTTCATCCTGGGACAGTGAGGCCAGATTCACAGGACAGCATTGAAAACAGCAACAGCTTAGTTGGTTTGCTAGCCTGTTTTCAGGTGACCTTAAAACCTCAGACAGCAAGGCAAGGAAGATAAGAAGCAAAGCTAAAACAGACGGCACTGTGTGTATAATAGGTTAAAACCCACACCAGGAAAGCAGTCAGGACAAGGCAGTGCTTGGTGGCAGGGTGTTCACCTTGGCTTCCATGGGTAACTCAGAGAAAGGGAGAGTCCTGGGAGACTGCTAGCTTTAATACAGTCTGAGGTACCTAATAGAAACATAAATTGTCTGATGGGCTCTTACACTCTGGCTCTAAGGGGTGCAGCTTTTCCCTGCTGTCCGACTGCTGAGCACAGAAGCTGTGCTGTGTGTAGAGAGGCTGGGTTGATCCCTGCTAGAGAGCAGTTATGTTTGGTATCTAGAGAACAATGAGGGCTTGCTGCTTGGCTGATCAATGTGGGATCAAGTTCACATTCCCCAGCACCCACTCTCCCACCTCCACACACAGTGGGTGGAAGCAGAGGAAGGGAGAGCAGGTCCTTTTTCACCCTGGGAGATGTGAGCTCTGGCTTTCCTAATATGGACACAGCTGGTCCTGGGGAGCATTAAACATTGATTTAATCCACTACTGGACGAACATCTCAGGAAGAAGAAAGAGACTAGTAACCAATAAGCACAGGTCATTCCATTGTGTTCCCAGAGTACCCCCTTCCATGGAGCTTAGTGTTTGGTGAACAAACATCCTGGAAACTGGCTTTCTGTCATAATTATTTATATGAGAGTCAGAAACCCTAGTCTCCAAAGGTAGTAGATTTTACATTGTGTGTGTGTGTGTGTGTGTGTGTGTGTGAGAGAGAGAGAGAGAGAGAGAGAGAGAGAGAGAGAGAGAGAGAGAGAGAGAGAGAGAGAGAGGAGAGAGAGAGGTATTTTTATAATACTTGTTAATAGAGATGATTCAGGCCCAGTCTTCTGTTTGTAAATTGTGACTTATTTAGGTTCCTTTTGGAGGCCTGATGGCAGGCAATCTAGTCTAAGTGGTCAAATTTTATCAAAGAATAGATTTTTCTGGGGACGTAGACTCCCTAATAGCCCCTCCTTCAGGGTACATGGAGCAGTGGTACGGCCATAAACACACACTTCCATATACCGTACAATACCATACCATGTCATACCCCAGGAAGTGATGGGAAGATATCCATATGTGCTATTGGCTTTCTAGCTAGTAAAATACCAACAGACCGTTTATATGTGCCTTTGGGGAAATGTTTGTCATTAATTATCCCAGAGCGCTTGCATTTACGCGCGCGTGTGTGTGTGTGTGTGTGTGTGTGTGTGTGTGTGTGTGTGTGTGTGTGTTTTCTAGGTAAGGGAACCCATTTGGTCAGAGCAGGCTGCCCACAACTCAAGGAAGTCAGCCAGCATGTACTCTTTAATGAAGCAATCCCTTTGAACACAGCAAAGGGTCCTTTCTACTGGCATAGACTTCCTCCTGATTCTAGGCTAGCTCTGTAATCAGAACATGGGGAATGCTACCTTCTATGGACAGTGCTATAGGCCAGCGTTAAACCAGGCCACCTGAAGACAAACGTTAAGGTCTTTGTGCAGGACCCAGAATTGTATTAACCATGGATCTCAAAAGGACTCCTTGTTCTGCATGGAAGGATTATGGGAATCCTGTACTTGTTTTAAGTCTTTTCATGCATATGCTTAATGCATGCCTGCGTCTATTCCTAAATACAAGCTATGGGAAATGCTCCCTATGTCAGACCATCAGCCTCATCCTCCTGATCACCTTGTCCCTCCCCTTCTGCCCACAGAAATTTGCTATCTTAGAGCATGATATGTGGTCACCCTCTATTTTATTGACTTTTGAAGTTGGATTCCTTCAAACATCTATAATATTTTTTGGAAGCTATTAAATATGGGGCATCATTAAAACCATCCAATTTAGTGGTTCTCAGCTGTTGGCACATTGGAATCACTAAAAAAGAGGAGCTGAAGATGACTCTGAGGCATAAATCTTAGTGGTTGCCTATATGCTGTGATTTGTAACACCCCTACCACAACACACCTACATACCCACACACCCCAGCACACCACATATCCACCTTGACACACACAACCATCCTGAGACACATACCCTAACATACTCGCATACCCATACACATACACAATCCCCACCCCTACCCCTCAAACAGTGATTCTCAAAGAGCATTTAAAGGTGGGAACCGCAGGTGGAGAGCCCCTGTATGTAATTTTGCATTTCACCTATGACCACTCTTTAAGATTATAGTGTCTCTGAGTGAATGTCAAAGTCACGTAAAGAATTACAGTCAGGGGTTAGGAAGATGGCATAGTCAATAAAATGCTTGCCATGGAAGCATGAAGACCTAAGTTTGATCCACAGAATACTGTAACAAAGCCCAGCCCTGGGGAGGAAAGGCAGGCAAATCCCTGATCAGCCAGCCTATAGCTAACTTGTCAAGCTCCAGCCCAATGAGAGGCCCTGTCTCAAAAGCTAAAGTGAACAGCTCCCAAGGAACACACCTCCAGTTGAGCTCTAGCCCCGACAGGGGCATGCACATGTGCAAGCATGTCTGTACACACATTAAAGAACTACAACCATACTCATGGTGAAGAGCATGTGATGATGTCTCTTTCAGCAGATGTTATAGGGTTGGATTATATTTTGTGGCCCCTGTTTTGACCTGGGGCTAATCAGATCCATATAATAAACAAAGTTTTTAAAGTGACATTGTCACAGTAGATGCTCCCTTAGTTCCAATCAAGACCCAAGGGCCAGGCTATCTGAAGTAATAAAGGCACTGGAATTAGCTGAGTCCCAGTGTCTCCATTCTTAAACTGGGACCTTGTGTAGCACAGGCAGAGCAGCTTGGGTGTGCAATGCTGTGTAAACTGCTTCTGTCGGAAGTGGGCTGTTCTGGTTTTCTACCAGTTATCAGGCTCTGTGGTCTCCGACAGCTGGTGCTTCAGTGGTAAGATCCAGTCCCTCGGGTTCTAGTAGCTGCCTTGCTTCTTAATTCTGATAGTTACAACTGCTCCCTGTCTTGAGTACCTGACATGTAGCATTGCATTACTGCACTCTGTGAGAAAGATGGCTTCTTAGAGATGTCACACAGCTGATATGGATCCAAACTCTGACAGACAGACTGTCCAAGTGCTCCCAACAGCAGACCATGTTTCTGCCTTGTCTCAAGGAGTGTCCTGAAGTCAGTGTGGTGTCCTGCTCCTCTTTGTTGACTAAACTTGGTGTTTTCTTCTGCAGTAGGGTCTCCATCATGTTTGTCAAGTAAGTAACCCGACCATGTGTCCAGTGTCCATCCTCCTGCCAGCGTTGGCACCGTTAAGATAAGACGTTGACACCTGTGTGCTGCACACCTATCATTACCTTTACTGGTGGTGTTTCCTAACATTTTCTTTGACCTTTGTAAAGAATATAGTCATCATCATATGGCCTTAGCTTTATGCATAACTTCCAAGTGCCGTGTTAATGGAGAGAAATGCTGGAAATTTGGCATTTTTGCAGCCCATCAAGGAGAAATGGAAATTAAAGGGGAAAAATAAAATCCCAATACTTTATTAATACTTCTCCTGCCCAAAATGGAGTTAAGGCAGCTTCCAAAGCAGATAAGCACAGCAGAACTTGGCAGGAAGATGGGTGAGGAGCATAGCCAATATTCAGCAAATTGTCCCTGAGGTTCCTATCCTGGCTAGGAAGGGTCCCCAAAGCTCCCAAGATTTTCGAAGATTGATAATCTACAGTGATGAAAACAAGCCAGGAGAGCCTAGTCTGACCATTTCTGCCACTGATACCAGAGAGAAGTAAAAATGACATGTAATAGCCCTCTTACTGGTAAACACAGCGGTGAATTTATGAGACCTTTTCTCTCGCTGTCCCTCCATAAAGGTCGATGGCATTTCACCAGACCTGCATGATAAGAGGCTGTTCCTGGAGCACAGGAAGATGAAGGCCAAGTCCAGCTTTGTTGGAGATCTGGCTGAACCTAAGAATGAATTGTCATGTCCCTTGGGGGAGTTTAAGCACCAATAGTCCAGGAATATCTGGGAAGTATGTATGTGTGCGTGCTGTAGGTGTAATCGTTTGTTTGTTTGTTTGTTTGTTTGTTTGTTTGTTTTCGTAGCAACACTATTAGTTACCATATCAGAGAGGATCATTAGGTGGCCTGCTTGGGACAGAGAGTACAGCCCAGTAGTGGAGTCCTTGCTTCGGATGCATAATGCCGAGGCTCAGTCCTCAGTACTAAAAGTATAAGAGGGGAAAGGAGACGGACAGTATCTTACACATTGTCCACTTGGTTGGGCTCTGCATAGGGTTCTGGGTGGCACTGATGAGTTCAGGGCTGCACTTACAAACAGGAAAATGTAAGTTTAGGCAGGGAGCAGAGCCCATAGTGGGCCATCTGGTATGAGCCACACTTCTCTTAGGAAAATTATGCTGTGGAATTACATTCACCTAGCAGAGCTAAAATTGCCATCAGAAAGAAACTAGGGCCTTCATCCTAACACTGATAAAACAGACAATAACATACAAGCTATATACAGTTCTTCTAAACTCAGAGAAAACAGTGTATAAGGTGTGTTACATTCATGCAAAATTTAAAGCTGTAACGTTTTGTCAGTCTGCTCTTAATCCTGACTTGTTCCTGCTGCTTACTCTAAAGGTAACTCTAGTTCCAGACCCCATGGGTACCTGTTGTTTTGTTTTGTTTGTTTGTTTGTTTGTTTGTTTGTTGCTCAGACTGGTCCAGAACTCACGGTCCTGCCATTGCCTCTCCAGTGATGACATTACAAATGTGGGCCACCAGGCCTGTGTATGTTAGTAACAGAGCCCTTAGCTTGTTTGGGAGCCAAAGTCCTTGGCTTCTCTCTGCAGATGGTTCTCCCTTGGCTTTGCCCAGGGGAGCATAATTTTCTGTCTGTTGGAATAATTAAAGGGCTCCCCATGTTTGCCCTACAGGCTTTCCTGTGGACCCTCCTCACGCCTCTGTGCCGTGCTTCATTCACCAAATAGAAGCAGGAAGAGAGCACACACCCCTCTCAATAAGAGATCGGCATCACTGCCTTTTCCTGTGAGAGGAATAACTTCCTCTTCCACTTAAAAAAAAAAAAAAAAGATTAAAAAGGAAAACCAAAAAAGACGTTCTCTGAAGATAATCTCTGTTTCTGCGTTGAGCAGGGCTTTTGTTTGAAAGCAAAAGCATTTCCTCAAGCTCTGAAATTGCCTTTGACTGTTACGAACTGCTTTGACAAAAAGTTTTTTTGAAAAACTTCCTTTCCAAATGTGCCTGTCAACTAGCTGAGACATTTAAAAAGATATAATTCAAACATAAAATGGTTCATTTTTAAAGGATAGCTTGAAAGTGCTTTTGTCACTCTGGAAGATGCCAGACTATCCATTCCCAACTCATAAACAAGGAGGGATTTAGGTAAACAACAGAGAAATATGTTCAGGTTGTGTTGAATAATTAAAAACATTAATTTTTTTAGTGTTTCACTTTTTATTCTGGGTTAAGTTCAGCCCCCAAACACCATTTTGAGATGTAACTTGAATTGCTGGTGTATAGGGACCTTTCATTTTCTGTTTTGTTTTTTTTTTAAGTCATTTAGAATTGTGTTCCTCCTTTTTTTAATTTAAATGCAGAATTCTGTGCTTTTTACAAATGGTGATATTCTAGCAGTTAAAGAAATTGGAGTTAATTAGAGAAGTAATTGTAAGATTTCACACACACACACACACACACACACACACACACACACACACACTTGAACTGTGTGCCATGTGTTCCTTTGTCCCTGTGTACTTCTATTCACTTCCAATAAAATTTTATTACATTTATGTGTTTACTTATTTAGTGTGTGAGTGTGTGTTGGCACAGGTGCCATGGAGTGAGTGTGAAGGTCAGAGGGAACCTGTGGGAGTGGGTGTCCTCCCCCCACCATGTGGGTCCTGGGGACTGAGCTAAGACTGTCAGGGTTGGTGGCAGGCGCCTCTATCCACTGAGCCATCCAGGTCCCTTCACTTTTAAAACATGGAGTATTTGTTGTGTGTTGGGCGGTGTTGTGGTGACTAGACAAAAATCAAGGACAAAAACAACAGGATGTTGCCCTTCCAGGAGCTTAAAGTGTGGTTAGGGAGGTAGACATTTGACCAGTTAATAATAAAAATAAATCAATAATAGAGTGCAAGATGGCTTAGTAGGTGAAAGTGATTGCTGCCAAGGTCGCAAGGTTGACAGCCTGAGTTTTACCCCATATCCCACAAGGTAGGGGAGACTTGCCCAGACTGACCTCTGACCTCTGACCTCCACATACGTGGCACGGCTTGTGCACACCCACACCACATACCCACATACCCACATGATAAATTAAAAATAAATAGCCACAAAAATTGTACCAAACTAAGTGAGCCTAATGTAGGATGTGGGCTTTTTGCAGCATCTTAACACTGGCTCTTCGGGCATGGAAATGTAGAATGCAATTGCATTTTATAAAATACACAATAGTAATGGCAGGGTGATACGCCTTCTGAAGATCTGAAAAACTTAACTGCTCTAAAAGTGAGGTCTCAGTGACAAAGAGCGAAGGAAGCCAATACAGGCAGGGTGCTACTAGAATACTGGGGAATCTTAGAATTGGAACTTGATAGTGAGGAGGGACCTTTCAGACATGATACTTCAGGTAAGAACCAGAGGCAGGTGTGTTTTCAGTAAAGCAAAGCGATGGAATTGCAATTTCCTTTGGAAAGACACCCGTGGCTTCTCTATGGGAGGGAGTGTGGATAAGGGAACAGGCTGGGAGGCATGCAGACTGGGCCCCAGCCTTGGAAGCTCAGCCTAAGTCTCCTGCTCCTCATGCTGTGCCAGCATGGAAAAGACTGTGTAGGTGGGGCCGAGTTCCAGATCTGTGTTCCCAAAACGTTACCAGTGGTTCTGTGGGGTTGTAGATTTGAGAACAATCTCACATGTGAAAATTATAAGGCCAGCAATAAAAGCTGTTGTATACTATGCAGCTTCCCAGGTTCTCGTAGGTGTCTGTGTAAACTTAGTTTGCAATAGTTATCTTTCTTCCTATTAATAAACTCTGCATTGGGCTGTTTGTATTAGTGTTTCTAAAGGTGGTAAACACCCAAGGGGAATAAATGAATAAAGGCAGTGTCTGCCAGGGTGAATATATATTGATTCTGGAATTATGAGTAGCATGAAGCTTGAGTAGTTCAAAGTTCTCTTTCTGTTTAAAATTAAGTAGATCTGCATAATGCAATGTTGGTGATTTACATGTTTATGTGTATGCGAGACTTTCCAAAGCATTAACCATTTCTATGATTTCCTCTTAAAGCAGAATAAACTTGGTTGTGATGGGTGGACAGTTTATGTAAAGTCACTAAATATGTGTAAGACACTTAGCAAATATGAATATGCATTTTAGTACCTGGATAATGAGGTACAAAACTGACTGCATCTACTTACATTCTAGAGTTAGGTTTTGGTTTGGTTTGCGTTTCTAGAAATAAAAACACCGCTAAGAATCCCCGACTCGAGCAGGCCTGTTGTTTATTTTAGGACATAAGCATCTTTAGTGGCCTCATGAGGGTCCGGCTGTGTTTGGGAATGGAGGGTACAATAAAGTTTTCCACTCTGGTGTCTCATTAAGCAGCCCTCTTTGTGTAAAGTACTCTGTGGCAAAGTTGCTTCTATTTAAAGTCCCCAGTTTGATCTTGGCTTTGATCTAAACCTTTTGATCTTGAAAGAAGGATGGAGTAGCAATAAAGAGGGCCGACAGAATTTCTTTAAAGAAATGCGATAAAGTTAAGGGCGGTCAGAGTCAGCCAGCACCGGCAGCAGGGCAGCCTTTCCTCGGCCTGGCTGGCACGGCCGGCCGACAAGGAAAATGGGGTGAGTCCATCCTTGGCCGCGGAACAGGACCGCCCCCCCTTCCACCCTCGTGCTATGCAGGTCCAAGGCTAGACGTGCACAGGGGACTCCCCAGTCCACCTGCCACCTTGGAAGTGCTAGCAGGAAAGTCGCTTCCCCTGGGAACCCTGGCTCAGGGTCCCTCCATCCCTCAGTGGGAGCCGCAGACTAGACCGGGAAGTGTGTGTCGGGGAAAAGGGTGGGGGTGGATGGATGGATAGGTGAGGAGAGGCTCGTGGGGGCGCAGGCCCGGGCAGAGGGTGCTTCCGAGAACAATAACACCCGGGACCTGGGAGCCTACACCTTTAAGGCAGGCCCCGCCCCGCCCTGCGCCCGCCCGCCCGCCCGCCGGCCCGTGAGGTGTCGCTCGTGGCGCTGGGCTCGGGTGAACTTGACTGGCTCTCCCCGCAGGCGCTGCGGGAGGAGCGCGAGGCCGAGGACTGCGCACCGCGTGGGCTGACAGGACGAGTGGGCTCGGAGGTGAGTGCGGCGGGCGGAGGTGGCAGCAGTGCAGGGTGCTCCAGGTAGACGGACGCCCGCACCTCTCCGCCTTCTTGAAACGCTGTTGGATTTTTGACTTTAGGTGGCGAAATGGATTCGTGTGAACCGCAGACCCCGAAAACGCAAAGGAGGGAAGCAAGAAGTCGCCTTTGAAAAGGTAGGGGCCCTGGAGGACGCTGCTGGGAGGGGCTCCTGTGTGCTGCCTTGTGTCCAGGATTCAGTCTCTGCTACTAGAATAGCATTTGGGGAGTTTGTGTTAAATTTACAGCAAGGAAGCCTTCCCCGGGTGTCCGCCGCCGTGACCGGGACGGGGCCTGTCGAGTGCTCCTTACACTGCAGCCCTGCCCTGAGAAACGAAAGCTTCTTCCAGGCAGACCCCCCCCCCCCCCAGGCAACAGTACATGAGAGCCCACGCAGGCAGTGTGAGAAGTGTGCAACTTCAGAGATGTCAGGACCTATTTTCCTTTCTGCCCAGCAAGTGAATTTGTCCTCCTGAATTTAGAATTTTAGTAGTTAGTTGTAGACCTTGCTCCCTGCTTCCCCTTGTGAATGTGTGAGGTTGAAACTTGATTCGTCGTGTGATAAATATTTTGAAATCAGGTGAGTAGCCTATCAGCCCTTTTTCTTACTGAAAAGGGGGCAAATGTTAATGACATGTTTTGGTTTTGGCAGCTTTGCTGAAATCTACTTTTGCAGTTGGGGTGGTGGTGGTGGTAGCGCCGCCGCCGAGGGACTAAAATAGCGGTGTGGTGTTGTGCTGCCGGACGGATGATGAATCACTGGGTTCTGAAGCCAAATTCTCGCTGATAGCGGTGCTGCCAGCTTCTGTGATGTGTTGCCTTAGTATGGGCATCGTGGCGTCTGAGACCGTGCATGAAACTCACAGTAATGAAGATGTGGCACTTCAGAGTGCACTTAAGGGCACTCGGGGCACCTGGAGGAGCCCTGGCAAAAGAGCTAACTGAGCATAATGTTGCTGGCATGCAAGGGGCCAGAGTGTGTGAGAAGTGTCCCCCACCCCAGCCATGTAAATAGAGCCGTGTGTGTCAACTCAGTGGAACAGTGGTAAGAAACAGAAGGATTTGGAGTTGTACCTTGGCGTGCTGTAGCAGGTTATGGTTGGTGAACTCTCACAATTTAAGTGGCTTTAAAAGGTTTGTTACTAGTGAAAGAGATCACGAGATATCTAAAGAGTGAAACGCATTATTTTGTGCCTAGCACTTGAACAGATGTTTGTAGATATAATTATTAAACAAAAAAATAAGATCAGCCACACATGGAAAAAGGAGAAGCCATTATAGAGTACTTGGTATCGCCTCTACCAAAATCTGAAGCAGTAACTGTCTCTCAGAATTGGGGAGGTGAGAACTGAGGCATCCACCTACGAATACAGTGGCAGCCCTTCCCCAGCCAGCCCTCCACTGTGCCCTATTAGAGGTACTGGAAGATGTGCCTCTAACTTTCCTTCCTAGACAGTGTGGGAAGGGGTTTTAAAGAGCTCGAAGGTGGGTTGGATGGCCTCCTTCCAGGGTACGAGGACACTGGATGCTCTTGGTGGCTGTGTGTCTGTGTTGGTGTCGCCACTTCTTTCTCCCAGGTTCAGCCGGCGCCATGGAGGGCTTTTCTTCTCTTACACCAGGGAGAAGTTCCGTGCTTGACGAGACAAGGCAGGCACTTTGAAGGGCCATGTGAGCGGTGAGATCTATGACCCAAGAGCATTAGAATGGGATCTGAAAGGCACAGGATCTAGGGGATATGTGTCCTCTACTTCTAAAATGTAGGTGGCACTCTAGGTGAGTGTTCAACCCAAGTCTAGTACTAGGACTTAAGCCTGTTGCTGGTGGGAACCTCAGTAGATCACTCACTGTTGATTCTGATAACTTATTTGAAAAAAAAAAAAGTCCGCTGAGCCTGACTTGGTGACTCATGCCTTAAATCCTAGCACTCAAGAGGCAAAGGGATGGATATCTTTGAGAGTTCACGGCCAGAGACTGGTCTACAAAGTTCCAGGACATTCAGGGCCATGTCAGAGACCCTGTCTTAAAATAAAATAAAAATGAAACCAAAATTTCAAATGTCTGTTGGGCCACAAGCAGGCTGACTGCTGTGTCTTCTCTGTGTCCGCACTGTGCGTGAGTCTGATTTCTCTAGTTTGGTGTCAGGTGCCGTGTTCTCGGCCCAGCTGCTGCCTGCTCCTTTGCCCGCTCTTGCTCACCAGGTGTCCTCCTCAAGTGTCCTCCACCTTCAGGGCTCTCTCAGGAGTTGACCTGGATTAGACTGGACTGGACTGGGTAGATTTGGTTGAGTGGTCCGTGGGCCAGATCTGAGTAGCTTTGGTTAAGTGGCCTGTATTAACTAACTATGCCAGAACTGGAATGTTTTCCTTCCATAGGCGGATGCTGCTTTTACTGCCCGGTGAAAAACAGGACCTCCTGGCTGTCTTGAGAAAGGAAAACAGCCATGGCAGCAGGCCAGGTTCGGAGATGTGTGGAAAGAATGTCATCTTGCGGGACACATTTGTTTTCCCCTTAAAGAAACTGTCCCAGGCACTAAATGGTGGGCACAACTTGAAATTAGCTGAGAGTTTCAGCCAGAAAAGGAGCACAGTCTGCCTGTTCTCGGCTGTGAACAAGGAGACAGAGTAAGTTAAGTGACTAGAATGCCTCCCCCCACTCCCACCCCCTGGCCCTTGTGAGCTGCTCTTTCTGGCCGCCCCTGCTTGCCAGAGAGCCATCTTAAGGACTTGACCTACCTTTCTCCCCTTTGCATCTCCTTGGGATGTTCCTCGATGTTCATTTCTACACTGCTCTAGCTCCCTCCGTATTGCTCTGTCCACAGCGGCTGTAACTGAATTCTCAAGGCTGTTTCCTCTCTCTGGCTCCTGGAGTGTTTCTCCATTCACTCTAGATTTTCTTCTTTTTCCTGTTGTTTCAAATGTATATTATTTAGTTTGAATAAATTTTACAACCAAAAAGCAAGAACATGAGTGGCCCACAGAGGACAGTCCCAGGCCAGCTCTGTGGGACTGGTTACAGTTGTGATTTCAATAGTGAGAAGTATGTGTGTTAAAAAATAATAGCTTTTGCTATATGATCTTTTGGCTTTAGAAGAACACATTAACTTTTAACTTGAAGATTAAACACAAATTGTGTATCACCATTAGAAAGTAAGGGCTTGCCGGGCGGTGGTGGCGCACGCCTTTAATCCCAGCACTCGGGAGGCAGAGGCCGGCGGATCTCTGTGAGTTCGAGGCCAGCCTGGGCTACCAAGTGAGTTCCAGGAAAGGCACGAAGCTACACAGAGAAACCCTGTCTTGAAAAACCAAAAAAAAAAAAAAAGAAAGTTAAGGGCTGATATTTTAAGGTATATCCATGTCAATGAAGTTTAGATAACTTCATTATTCTAAAAATTAAAATATACAACACAGCAGCACTTTATGAAATAATATATTTTAAAGAAAATGCACTTGTAGTGAGATTGCTCTTCTTAAAGAAAATTTCTGTTGTTAGACTCAAAAGACTCCACCTTCTTGGTTTTCTGTACATCTGATAACTTACAGAAAACGACTCTTGCTGTTTCCATTTCTAGCCTTGGTGTGTATGCTAAAATCAGAAGTATTCATAGGCTTGCTTTCTGGCCACTGAGGGTGACTCAGAAAGCCATCTCCCATGTCTCTGTGCCTGAAGCAGACTTCTAGGGTGAGATGGGCTGGCCTTTGTGTGTTGTAACTACCACTGGGAGCCGACGTTCACTCCTGTCAGAACCTGGAAAACAAAACTTTGGAACTTGCAGTTTGCTGAACCTGAGAGTGAAAAGTCCAGAGCATAAAATAACAATTGAACAGGAGAGCGTGAGGCCAGTGGGCTTCGTCAGGCTGTCGGCTCTGTGCTCCCTGATAAGCCCTGGAGTCTGGGAGCATGTTTGCTCTGCTTTTACGTCTCTGCTCTTGTCACACGCTTGACTCGGAGCTGTGCTCTCCTTAGTAGTCTCTGTAATTCATGACGATTTTAAATCTGTGCAAACCCAGGGAGGTCTGCATGTTCAACACCATTTACTCCTTTTGAGGTGCATTGCACACTTTGGCTGCAGTTCTGCTGTGAGAACACGCAGGATGTTTTAAAGGTAGGTGGTTCAGGCTTTAAATGTTTTACCATTGTGTGTCTTTTGTGACAAAAGTCTGTTATATTCAGTTGTAATTCTGGAAACCGGTATTTAAGTTGTTTTTTTTTTTTGTTTGTTTGTTTTTTTTAAGTTACTTTTTCCTGGCCCCACAGAGGCAGTGGTACCTATTAGGCTCCACTTGGAACCCTCAAAGCTCAAACCGGTCAACCAGTCCATGTGGATTTGGAGCATGCGACCAAGTATCCCCACTAACCGGTACCCAGAAACCTGGTGGGTTTGGGCAGCTACTTATACCTGAGTCAAAGCTCCCCTGGAATTCCCTAGGCTTGGTGCCTGTGCCTCTTTCTGAGAGAACTGTTGCTCTGTGAGAATCCATAACTAGTCTACACTTGCAGAGCCGTGGTCTCATACAATAGCTTCATTGATTCTTGATTTCCATAGAAAAGCTTTATGAGTTCTAATGAATCACCAGCCCGCCCTTCTGTACCTCCTCAGTGAGTGGCTTTGTGTCCTGTGTGTCTCCTGTGCCTTTGGATAAGGACTTACGTGAGTGATGGGAGGCAGAGCAGTTTAGGAGAAGTTGTGATGAAGAAGTCAAGCAGAGAGAGGTGTGTTTGTGTGCATTGCACCATGCTGCAGAGATACTGAGGAACTCCCATGTACCTGAGTCTTGTTTCTGCACCTCCTCCTGCCCTTTTATTTCTTATAAATCCTTAACAAATGCATTATTGAATATTCTATATCCAGGTTTCAAGTCAGATCAGATTATGCTAGATTCTTGACATTTTTTGCTTACTTTAAGCTGAACCAAGAGAAAATTGCTGATAAAATATATTTTTGTAACCTAAGAAAGACAGTTTGATTTGTGTGATTTTATACTATTAAATTCTCATCTGTCCCATAGATTATTCTTTTTAAGAATCTGCAATTTAAAACCAGAAAAAGACTCTGACGAATCTGTGTATAGTAAAGTCCTTGCAAGCTTTAAGCTGCTGTAACAGGAA